GTTGTTTGGCGGGCCCGGGCTGGGGATTTGAACCCGCCACCTTAGGTGTATGTGGCTGGCGCCTTAGCCACTTGAGCCACAGGTGCCGAGCCAATTTGAAATACTTTCATCCAACCAATTTATTGACTTTTTATGCTTTTTGTGTTGTATTGAGAAAATCTTTGTTAAAGCTGAGGTCATGAAGATTTTTTCTTATGTCTAGAAGTTTTATAATTTTAGCTCTTTTTTCTTCTTTTTTTTTGAGAGAGAAGTTCTTGTTCTGTTCCCTAGGGCAAGTTCCAGAATGCAGTGCCCTGACCATTGCTTACTGCAGCCTTGAACATACCTCAGGCACACACCACCATAGCTGGTTTATTTTTCTGTTTGTTGTATAGTTGGGGTAAAGTAGGGTCTTGCTATGTTGCCAGGCTGGTCTCAGACTCCTGGTTTCAGGCGATCCTCCCATTTCAGCCTACCAAATTGCTGGGACTCCAAGTATGTATCACCGTGCCAACCTATCTGGAACATTTAAAATTTATCTGTCCTTTGACTGTGTAGTCCCAGGTATAGACCTTTCCTTCAGAGAAGGAATCCTATGTGCTGAGGCCTCATATACACGAATGATCAATGCAGCATTGCTTTTTTTTTTGGCCAGGGCTGGGTTTGAACCCACCACCTCTGGCATATGGGGCCGGCACCTTACTCCTTGAGCCACAGGCACCGCCCTGCAGCATTGTTTATGATAAAACTATGCTGGAGATGTCACAGCATCCAGCTGGAGGTGACTGGCTGCTATGCTCCCCTCACTGGTATTTCATCCAAGCGCAATTCATGAGCAATCTGTAAGGATGAGAAAACAGCTTTATAGGGGCAGATTCCAGTTCTGCAGCATGTTCAGAGAGACAGGGCCATGCCTGGGTAGCCCCTCTGTGTAGTTTTGGCTACAGGAGGCTTTTGTGGGCAGTCAGGCTCCTCCTCAGTTGGGGACCTTTTCTTCTTCTTTTTTTAAAACAGCTTTATGAGGCTCGGCACCTATAGCTCAACCGGCTAAGGCGCCAGCCACGTACACCTAAGGTGGCGGGTTCGAATCCCCAGCCCGGA